TGTGTTGTGTGGGATCCCTTGATGTGGCTTTTCTAGTCATTGTCTTAGTTACTCTAACCTGATAGCTGATTAGGAGTGCCAGTGTGAGGTGTTTATCTGTGGTCCACAAAGGCGGTTAGAAAGCTTGCTCAAAATATGAAGAAAGTACATTGTACCTTTGAATGGGATAATGTAAGTAAGATATTTGGGCTGAGCAGTTTTGCCATCTTTCCAAGTTTAAACAGAGCTTTAAACTTGACATATTCCTACAATCAAGAAACAAGACATATTCCTACAATCAAGAAAGAGATCCAGATATTCCTTTGCACTTAAGATCCCGGCTCAAATCAGATACAGAGACAGCACAAGATAGCACAGCAGCCCAGTGACAGTAGTGGAGGTAGCAGTGATAGTGACAGCAGGGGTGGTGAAGAACCATAGAATAGTGTCAGATGGTGCTGTGGAATCCTGGCTCCTGGGATGAGCAAGAAAATGAGAAAGAATACTTGCTGGCTGAGTGAGCACCTGGAGGCCTTTGCTGGCGGGAACTAGCTGCTGATCTAGGGTGTAAAAGCCATGTGCCATCAGACTGGTGCTTACTGACAGTGTAGGAGTGACACCTAATTGATGGAGCTAATGGAGCTTTTGACATTTGCCTGAGCAGGACACTGAGGTCACGACCACAAGACCAAGGGTGAGAGAGCTGGCCTACAAACACAGCTAAGTAGAGGGAATTCTTTTTTTTTTTTTTTTTTTTTTCAGCAGAGAGATGTCAGGAGGAGAATGAGGCTACGTCTATCAGAAGCTATGGTCTTAAATGGAAAAACACGTAACACACTACACCACCAAGGCTTCTTAGCCTATTCTGAAAGATTTCGGTGTTTGGCTTTTTTTTTTTTTTTTTTTTTTTTTTTTTAGTAGAGGGAATTCTGATTGAAGGATTAAATACTGAATGTTCCTGACTCTAGTGGCAATCTGTTCCTTCCTTGATAAACTCCATCAATGTGAATATTGTCTGTGAATTCTATGTGGCCATTGCAATGGATTATCAAACTCAGCAGAGAAGTAATATTCCTAAGAAGAACAGTGCATGATAGAATTGTGAGCATAGTGTGGAGTATGGTGGTGGGGCATTTGTGCTGTTGGTAGAGTTTCTCCCTTCTTTGGAAGTTAATATTGTCTCCTCCATGCCTATCATACTGACTTTTGCATACCTAATTACTACCAATTCATGATGAAAACAGTTTATTTCCTTCAAAGCTCTTTATCTCTCATGACTTGTCTAGAATCCTACTTATATTTCACAAGCAGTCAGGAAATCAACAGACAAAGTGCAATGGGAAAATCTGTCAGGGACCTCTCCAGAATACTGAGAGGCAATGATAACAGTCTAGAGACTAAGGTGCACGTGATCTAGGACATGGTCTTCACAATTACTTGCTATGCATCAGATAGCTGGACAATGTCTAAGGATACCAGAAGAAGAGTTTTTGCCTTTGAGTTGTGGAGCTGAAGAAGAGCCTTGAATATACCAAAAACCACCAAGAAAACAAATAGGTCTGTCTTGGAGAAGGTGAAACCAAACTTCTTCTTGGAGGCTAGGATTTTGAAACTTCATCTCACATACACTGGGCACATGGCCAGAAGTGATTGGTCCTTGGAGAAGGATGTCATGCTTAGAAGGTTGGAGGGACAGTGCCTGAGAGGAAGACCCTGGATAAGGGGGATTGGTAGAGTAACTGGAGCAATGGAGGTAGTGTCAGAGTCAGTAAGACTGGCTCAGGATAGGGAAGAGATTAGATTTGTTGGACATAGGGTTGCTAGTTACAGGGGACTTGACAGCACATAAAAACAATTACAATCAAGAGAGCTTTGGTGGCCTAGTGGTCAGGGAGTGTCACTGACAACTCGAATGTGGGTGGTTTGAATCCACTAGAAGCTCTGTGAGAGAGAGATGGGAAAACATGCTACTGTATAATTTACATATTCTGAGAGCCCCTGGAGGATCAGCTATGAGTTGGTGCCAACTCAGCAGCAATAAGTTTGAATTACAACTGAGCTTGGAATCACATGTTTTGTCTTTATCTGCTATTGTAACTTAAAGATGTAACTTTAGTTTTGCTTGTTGTTTGTGTTATTGCTATTCCCTTTGCACTCAGTGATAAATGGGGATGATTTATAAGAAAGGAACATTAGTAAAAAATTATTTCTAAGGCTTCTTTTCTGTTTAGTCTGGTCTTGAAGGAAATCCTTCGGGATGGGGTGGGGTAGAAGGAAGCAGGGATGGTGACACTCTGAATTACTGCTCTTGGTGACACCAATTCCACTGACATCACCACAAACAAGACTCATTCCATGTTTGAGTGGAAATCCTTTCATTGCCCTGGTTTTTTTGTTAGTTATTAGGAGCTGTCAAGTCAAGTATGACTCACAGGGACCCTATGAACGCTGTCCTGTCGTGTGCCATTCTCACAATCTCTGACACACTCAAGCCCACTATTGCAGCTATTGTGTCAATCCATCTTGTTGAAGAACTTCCTCTTTCTCGATCCCACAATCTTTGCAAGAATGATGTCCCTCTCCAAGGAATAGCCTCTCCTGGCAACATGTCCAAAATATATGAGATGAAACATTATCATGTTTTCCTCCAGGGAACACTCTGTCTGTACCTTCTCCAAGAC